TCCAAAATACATGTGAAAATACAAGGTTTTCTGCATTTGTAGATCCAGATTGATCTGTACATTGTCATGCACATATAAAGACAGTAGACTGAATGAAAAATATATATATTTAGGCCTACTTATTTTTTTTAAGTCGTCTCAGGCTGTTCATCATCTGTCTTGGAAATGGACGGTTCAATAATTAACAATTTGGACGAGTTGTTATTATGAACTGGTTTTACTGGTCCGGCCCACTTAAGGTCAAATTGGGTTGTATGTGGCCCCTTAACCAAAATGAGTTTGATACCTCTGCCTTAGAAGGTAAGACTGTTGGTATCAGTGTTTCCTATTAATTAACTAGACTATGGCCACCCGCCATGGTCTATTTTTCCCCCACCATATTTTCATAATGAACCGAAAATATTTTTACACCTCTCTCTAACATTGTGTTTTACACTGTTGCTTCAGCAAAGCATCTCCCACTCACAGTACGAGTATCTGCAATAACTAGTGGACAATCTCCCCTCGCTCTGTCCCTCCTGTACAGTCTACTGACAGTCACACTGCAGAGACACACACACAAAGACAGACATACTCTGGTGCAGAAACAGTGTTTATTCTATCAGTGTGGACCAGGTAAAGCAAGAGTAAACAGCAGTGAACACATCAGCTGTTGCCAATGTCATTCGGTACCACATTGTTTTCAATCGTTTTGATAGGCTCTTCATTAACAACGAGCCTCCACACGCAGCTCACCTGCTGTTAAGGGAATTGTGTGTGTGTGTGTGGGGGGGAATCCCAAACGTGAGTTGTGTCCTTTGGGGGAATAAATAAAACTTACTGATGAAGAAAGTCAAGAGACACAAACAGAAAGAGAGAGAAACAGAGAGAGGCAGGGCGGGGCAAGCCAGTGTGAAAGACCAGAGTAGGTATGTGTGTGGCCTGTGTGGAAAACAGTAATGTTACTGAAGAGAAAAGCAAGGTGATTAAAGCAGTGAGAGAGTTAGTAGTGAAATAAGTCATATATTTCAATAGATAAATCTTCTCCCTGAGCCATACTGCTACATTGTTGTTCAAAAGCTATTAAAAACACATCAGTGAGTCACACTGTTGCACTCTGTGGCTCTGTTCCTTCATTACCATGAACATTCAATCCCACATTGGTTTCGGTCTTTTTATAGGATTTGTTGACAATGAGACAAATATAACACTAGACGGCTCCTTTAAAATTTTTCTCCACCCTTTACCTTTCTATGTATGAAATATACTCCAAGCCCTTGGGGTCACTGTCAACAACCCACTACCATTTGGAGATGGGTGATTTGTTGTAAGGCTAACTAACTGCCCTGTGCACAAATTCTATTTTTATACTCATTAGCATGTACCTTATTTGGTCCCTACTCACTTTTCGTACATCTGTCTCTGACAGCGTCCCATCAGAGCTGTGGGTGACGACTTGGACGCGGTCAGTCAGGCTGGTGTGGTGTTGCTCTAACCTCAGTCTCATCCTCTGGAAGACAATGTCCAAGATGTTGCAGGTGTCTGGACCGACCTGCAGGCTGGAGGAAGTCCTCTGTCCCCTGACTGACTGTGGGGTTGATGAAGGTGATGTGCATGGCCTGTAGGGCAGACTGTTCAGAGCTCAGTACAGAAGGGGTTATAATAAATAGATGATGTAGCCACAGCCACAATCAAGAGTCTGCTTGCACGAGTGAGCAATAAAGTTAAAAACTGTTCCAAGTAAAAAGTGAGACCAGAGCAAATCATGCATCATATTTGATGGATATTCATATTTAATTCAACACACACAACTGTACAATGAACACAAACAGAGAAAAAAACTGCAGTTTGTTTAAAATTAGCAATTTGAATGAATTTTGAGTATTTTGTTTTTGATTATTTCCTGTGAATGTTGTATTAGAGATGAGTATTTTTAACAATCACATCTTCTCCCTCATTCTTGGCCATTGTTTTAATGCAGGATGAGGCTGTTTAGCAGTGAGTGAAGGCTCTATGAATACAGCTTGTGTTCAGTTTCTATCTTAAATAATATTTAAAACTTTAAAAATAAAAATTTCATTTGTTTTTCTATACATTAATGAATGAAATGCTGAGATGGAGGACTACTGTGTATGTTTTTAAAGTTGTCTTACACCCCTTAAAATCAAGAAGGCCTTGTGACCCTTAGATTGGGAACCACTGGATTAGTGGGTTAGGGCAAAGTGGTTAGGGTTAGAGGAAGGTAACTGACAATTTTTCTGCTGGAAAGTCTGTGTCAGAGCGTAAGAAGAAGTCTTAAAATCCTTGAAATATGGCACTAACATGTCAGATGATTTGGTGCCAAACTAATCAGGCCTTTTTTCAGGAGGAAACACACCCAATATCTATTGACATATTATCCAAATCACTTCTGGAGGTGGATTAACAGGATTAATTAAACATGATCCACAATGCTAGAACCAGTAACTCTAGAAAGGCTCACCTCTCAGTATGGCAACTCTCCTCATGGGATGATGATGCGTGTGTTTCATCTGTTAGTGGAACACCCAGGTTTTTGAGAAAGCCAGTGTAATAAACAAGCTTAGAAGAACTGCCAGGTCTACAGCTGGATGTCTCACAGAGCCTAGAGACACAATGAGAATGAGAATGGGGGGATTGAAACCAACTGGAGCAGTATTTACACACAGCTCTCATTAGTATTTCTTCAGACCTTCTACATGTGCAACATCCAGTTGAACAGGCAGTTCAAAGTCGAAGTGCAGAAACAGAGAGTTCAAAGTCCTGTTCATCTTCCAGTCAATCAGGCTACTTAATCAAACCAGTATGGTTTAACAGGCCAGTAGGGCCAGTAGGGCCAGTGTAAGCAGGGATTCAATAATCAATTCAACATGGCAGCAGATGCATCTCATTAATGCTCCAGCCTTAGAGGACACCGATTGCCATCAGTTTTCGTCTGACCCTACATGCAGCTAAAGCACCCTGAAAATTGCAAGTGAAAGCATTCTTCAACATCAACCTTCAAAGCAAATTTCAAATTTATGTCAGTGACAGTTGATGCTTTAACTTGTGGTATTCCTTGGAGTTACATGCTGTAACAACTTTTTGTTTCACTGTCTATTGCTTAATTAGGTAACAGAATGGTGATCGTGCCCATCGCCCAGTGATGAGTGTGAGTATTGCAATAATTATATATTTGCAGTATTAATAACTGGGTGTTTGTGGCGACATTCCTGGAAAAAATGTTAAAAGTCTCTACCATAATGTGATTTACAATTTCTATTTGAGTGAAAACAATGAAACTGTGCTCAGAGTTTAGCAGTCTGGAGTCTTGTTGATACATGAGCTTCAAGTTTTCAGAATTGCTAGTAGTAGTAGTTCCACTGCAGCATTTTTTCTGGGAATATCATCAGATATAACTCCCAGCAAAAATGCGTATTTCCCAAAATGTCAAATTATTCCATGATAAAGATGATATCATAAAAGGAGCGCCAGTGGAACCTCAAACAGTGAAAAACAATGCAGTAAACAGGATGGAAATATGACTTTTTCCTTTTCTTTCATGTATTCATGTGAGAAAGGTTCCATCAGATCTGGGTGGAGCAATCACGGATGTATTATAGAGTCATGTGAGATGAGGAAACTGTCAGAGCGGGAACAACCTCAGTCATGTGTGTTAAATGTTTGCTACGTCAGAACTTATAGTGTTTCCATCTCCCATTAAGCACATTAACTCTTTGTTAGAAAAAGAGTATATAAAAAAAAAAAGAGTATAAAATGAAATCGAGTTTTTTAAATTTTGTCGTTCCTATGAAACTTTTATAATATATAAAAATACATGTGAGATTCCTTTGGCTGGGAAATTGCTCATAGGTGTGAATGTGTAAAACTGTCCAGGGTGTTATTATTATTTCCTAATTCTTGAGGTCACAACTTTTATTTTGATGTAGGACTGTTCTGAAAATTACAGCTGCCATCTTTTGTATTGCCTTTGTGAGCTTTTGATTACTACACTGTGTCTGGGTGTGTTTCTTACTTGTTGAAGTGTGTGTCTGAGATGGGCACGCCATAGCAGCTTAAGACCTCCTTCAGATCTTCCTGTGCAACATATCCAGTGTGCTGACAGTCACACAGCTTCAGAGCTGCCACTACTGAACTGAGCTGCTCACACAGTTTGTCCATCAGTACATTCTCCACCTTAATATATAAGTACACACACAGAAAACACACAGAAAACACACACAAATCAAAGTGTACATTAATAATTAACCCATCTTCCTTCTTTTGATTTTATCTTCTGTTTTCTTTCTCTGTTTGATCCTGTGATGCATGCTATGTGTGATATGGGTGATATTTGATCACATTATGTTGTGTTAACACACTCACTGTTCTCCATGAAGCAGATGCCACAGACACTCTATCAGAACACTGTGAGGTCGGCCTCTCATCTGGTGTTTTTTGCTGCTCCTGAGGAAAAATATTAAAAAAACAGAGTATACATATACGCACCCTCCTCTGTGTGAAAGACGCAAGGGGGGAAATGTCGCTCCGTCCCTGATCC